AGCCCGGCTCCCGTTGAAGCCCGGACCAAGGAGGCCTCAACAAACACACACCCACCCACCCCCCAAGTCAATTAAAACTGCAGGAAAGCAGCAGTTTCCAGCGATGCGATTGGCTTGCAGCATGCTAATTAACCTAATTATCAAACTCCATTAACAGGCAGTCCAGGAAGTCGAAAGAATTTCCCCCTTCTCCCACCTGCAGCACCTCCATTGCCCCCAGGACTGGCCATGGCTCTGGGTGCTCGGCTCCAGCCCAGGAACCTTCAGAAGTTAGGGCTTGGGAAACGGGATCTAAGCTCGGCTGGGAAGAAAGGAGGAAAGACATAAAAGTGTCCCGGTTTAGGCAGAATAAAAGGGATGGAAGGTGGCAGCTGGGAAAGAAGAAAGGAGATGAGAACAATTGCTTGTGCTGGGACCTCATTTTATTGCAAGGAAAATACAAAAGTTGACAAAAGCATTCGAGGGACCACAGGGTTCCCTGCTTGGCAGAAACCAGGCAGGCCAGCGCACACCTCAGTTGTGCCCCGCATCTCAGGTGCAGGCTTCTGCCAGCGCTGGTAAAACATCTCCTTGACGTTGTACCAGAGGGGGACAGTGAGCACAGGATTTGCTCAACAGGTTTAGGTGCCAGGCAGGAGCAGAGTCCCCAGCAGACCCTACCAGATCTCCTAATTTGATTGTTGGGGCAGCAGGCCGGGGCCTCCTCACGCAGGGATGTTCATTTGTAACAGCACACGGGGATTTACTGGGATTTCTGCACGAAACCACTCAACGTTCATTCATTAGCCAAACATCCAGAGGAATGGACAGGCAGGACCCTGCTGGGCACCAGAAACAAGATGTGGGGAGGCAGAAAGACACCAATTCCTGGCTCCATTTCCCCTTCCGATTAAATGCAAATGCTCACAAGCCCATTCTCTGACCTCCCTGCTCCTCTCACCAGCGGTCAGGGAAGCAGCTCGTAGACACACCGAGAACGGATCACGGTTCCATTTCTCGCTTCTCCAGGAATACACTAAGAAGAGTCTGTGACCGGACCCACCCCTCTGGAGCAAGTACCATGTGCCAGGAGCAGCGAACCGCTGAGGAAGTTGGAGGAAAGGAGGACAGGGAAAAAGAGAAGAAATGAGCATTTTTACAAACTACCACGCAGAAGAGGTCAAAGTGAAAGCAGCAGCTGGCAGCCAGCCAAGAGGATGGTGCGTGCAGGCCTGTGGGAAGGGCTCCCACGCAGGAGCTGGGAACTACTGGCTTTGACGATCCACAGAGTTTAAGAGCTCCCTCCGTCACACCCAGTCATTACAGCATGTTCCAGCCAGCCAGCAAACCCCTCCACTCAGGCTGCCTGTGCGGTACTGACTCCCTACGGGGTCAGACACTCACTCACACCTATGAACCTCAACGGGGTAGGGAGCAAAGCCCAAATGAGACCACCGTGAGGGCAGGGGTAGCCTCCTTCCCCTGCACAACCACTTATGAAGTCATTCAGCCTTCAGAAGAGGTGACAAGTGTGTGCTGATAACCCATCACTGCAACGTGTTGTCCGCTAAGAGACAGGAGATGCTCCTGAACTTCCAGGCACAAACACTTGGCAGCAAAGTTGTGGGACAGCCCAAAAGAAGCGGATGACAGCTCTGTGAATGCAGTACTAGACTCACACGCGCAGCTGGTTCTCTGATGTTCGTCCCCGGCTTCCACAAGATAAGGTGCCGTAGAAGGTCTGAAGATTTTGTTTCAGTTTGGGCCATTTTCCCAAAGAATAATATATTCTACTTCAGCCCGCTATATTGATTCCATCATCCTCTGTTTCTGGATTGAACAAAGGTGCCAAGATATCCACAGGGGAAAATGGGACTGGTTTCTCTGCATGGCCAGAGAGCTCAAGGGCTGTTAAAACATATGCAGAGAGCTCAACTCTTCAAGTCCACCTTGAGCTTCAAGCGGACATCACACAGGAAGACGTTCATCAGGTCCTGGCCAGCCTCCTGAGCAATCTTGCTGATAACCTTACCTCCTCTTCCAATCAACATCATCTGTATTAAAACCCAGAGAGAAGATCATTGTACCCACCCTTACATCGCTTAATTGCGGGGAGGAATCACCCAACAAAACAACAGCGCATCCACAGAAGCAATTAAAGGGGATAGAGCAGTTAGAGAAATCCCAAGATCAAAGCATGGGCAAATGATCACTCCAGAAAGGTGTAAGCCGTTATTGAACAGCCTGTGACCGTGTTGGGCACCCAGCTCTTTCCAGCAGAGGGAGAGGGGATCAAAGCAAGGATGTACGTGTGCTGGACCTAGGGAACCTCCTTTCATGCTCCCCAGCACCCCACCTCTCCTCTGTTACTCACCATGTGAGACTTCCTTGGGACCAAGAGGCTCTGCACGATAAGGAGCTCCCCACTTGGTCCTTCCTCCCACATCTCAGTCACCTGCAACAGCAAGTACAAACTCAGTGATTCTGCGAAGCACCTTAAGAGCAGCAAACGCCACTCTCTCAGAGATGACAGCTCAGCTCCCCGACACGAGCAGGCAAGTGTTGTTGCCCTACAAACACACAAAGGGTCTCACAGCACCTGACACACAAGTCCCAAGCCACCCCACGAGGCCTATGAAGAGCCTGGCAGATTTTACAAATTCAAACAAAGGGATTCTCATCACATAGTTTGATATTTCCAATGAAACAGCTCAAAGACAAGTCTGCTCGCACATGCTTCCCACCTGAATCACACCGTAGGGCACTTCCAGTGGCAGGTACTCCAATATCTTCTCCCTGATGATATTATTACAGATCTCTTGAGGTGACTGGCTGGTCAAGACCCTGCTGTGAAACTCCCAAGGGCCTGGCTTGGCTTGCATTAGGAGGTACCGCTGTCAGCACAAAACACAGGTCACACCCATTAGCTGTCACGTACCACTCTTGCAGTGTCACCAATCCCTGCGCTCATCTTACAACCAGTGGCTACGAGGATGCTGCTGCTAGTCAGGTGTTGGGGCAGTAGTTTGGTATCTTTGGCAGGGAAAAGAGAAAGGGAAGCTTCTGAAACTCAAGCCCTGCCAAAGGGTCACACCTTCCTAAAGCTGTTTGTATGAGTTATAAGCACCCATAGTCTCCCTTGGAGCTGAAAGATAATGCGTTGGGTGGCTTCATCATTATGAACAGGCTGCTGTTTGGAGAGCCCCAAACAGAGTTCTGTACAAAAAACTCCAGAAATATGGTATGGATGTACTCCACATCAGCAGATGACACTTCCCCCCCAAACCCCAGGCTGAGAACAGCAGCTCTGCTACTTCCTCACAGGAGATGAAGCTCAGTATGAAGTCCCAAGGTCCCACAAGGGTAAAAGCACACCAAGTCTCAAAGCGTTACAGAAGTTCAGACTGCAGTTACCTTGAGTGTATCCACCTCCTCCCCATGGAGAGCTGCCAGCATGAAGATCTCCTGGAAGCACGGCCAGCCTTTCATATTTTTTAGATCTCTGGGTCCATAGCGCTTTGGCCCTTGTGCTTCTTCTGCGACAAGACTGAACTCAGAAGCCCTCCTATCACTGCTGCTGTCCAAGCTAGAGCCTTCTTGGGCTTGACCTGTTTCCTGCAGACAGTGAGGCTCACTGGCCCTACTCTCATGTGGAGAAGCCTGAGTGATCCGAAGAGGAGACTTTGATGAAGAACTGGAATTATGTTTAAATGCAGATCTCACTTCCAATTTCTTTCCATTTACAATTCCCTCTGTTAGCTCAGTTACTAGTTCCAGCAGGATGAACTTCTTCTTTAGCAGATCCACCTAACATGAGAGAGGTGTCAGGAATTTGTCCTAAATGAGGTTGGCAGCTGGGCCCTGGATCCAAAGGAGCCAGAAGAAACCACCCGGGGAGGCAGCTCCTGCAGGACAAAGCTTCTTGTCCAGACAGTCTTCTGACCAGATGCCAAACCAGAGTGTGTCAGCAGTTCCAGTACAGTTTGTCCAAATACTGTCAACTTGACAGCAACACCTACTCTTGTCAGCTCTGCTGAGATTCTTGCTGGCCAACCCTGCCGTAGTGCCAGCTCCTGTTCCCAGGCTGATTTTAAACCCCACTCTGCAGCATATCGCTTCAGGGATGCATGAGCATGCAACATATGTACATACATACACACAAGCTTAAATGTTAAGTGTAAGTAAATATTAAGTAGAGGGGGAAAATGGTGTCCTTTAACACACCCGGACTCGGGGTACTCTCTGAAGACACCAGTGTAACATACCATAGAGGGCAGAAGGAACAAGCTCCTCATTTACCTTGTTCAGAACCAAGACACTGGGGATGTGGGGAAATCGAGAAAGACACTTCAGCACCTCCCTGCTCAGACAGTTTCGTGTCCAGTGATCCGACACGTCCACCAAAACCAGAACTGCCAGAAAAGAGGGAGGGAAACATGATGAACCTACATGTCCCAAAATGAACATTTTCAGCTTCTGGATAGTCTATTGTCACCTCCTTCCTTCTGCTACTTTTCTCTTCTACAGGACAGCACGTGGATGGAATGAAAAAGGAGCGTTTTAGTTGGTAAAACAATAAAACACAGTTTATACCTGTCATCCTAATGCCATCATGCATGCTAAAACTCAACATCCAAGTCCAATTATTAACGCAAGCTGCCTCCCCTTGGCACCAGACAATTCTTAAACCCTCCCCAGCTCCACATTTCAAATCTTTTCACACCCCTCCCTCCTAGCTCACGCTCCCAGGGCTGCCTTTGCTGCCCAGTAAACATCCAGATACCACAGCTACAGGGCTGTAAATTTCTGTTGCAGATAAAGGGTTTAGCCTGATCCAAGGAGTTGAGTACCCACCTAAATCCGCATGTTTCATGCTGTCCCATGGGTCTGTCAGCATGGCTTCATCTAGTTTATGTCTGAAAGGCAAATGCAAATGAGTAAGCCAGGCACATGCGACCATAATCATCTTCTTTCCCCTCAAAATGGGGGAAACCAATGTCTTCCATCATCCAGCTGACACAAAGCTGCCTTACAGGCTGTGAGATCCCTTATTACATGCACATATGCAGAATCAAACATAACAGGGCTCAAAGGATTCCACAGGCTCTGTGTGCTACTGAAACTGCAACAGTGAAAAAGTTCAGGGACCAAAATAAGACTAAAAATACACCTTCCTGTCACTCCTATTTTACAAACTTTGCACAGTAAAAATCACTCTCAAGTTCTCTCGAACCTCAACAGACAGGACCCCCTGCTTTCCCCACAGCAGTGGCAATACCTTTTGGCTTTAAAGGGACTAGTGAGGCCAGGTGTGTCCAGAATGACCTAGAAAGAGGAAAAGACAGATCTTGTAAGTTTGCCTGCAGTTAGTGGCCAAGCTAAAACTTGTATTTGTGCAATTAGAAGTGACCCCACGGAATACAAAGTGAGAAAACCCCGCACTTTCTGGCTAATGCTCCTCACTGCCCAGGCAGGAGCGGGTCTGGATGCTCACCAGCTGTGTGTCCTCGCAGGTGACGACACCTCGGGCTTTGCATCTGGTTGTATGCACTTTCTGAGAGACAGGGAAAACCTGTAGCAAATTAAACACGTTACACAGCCAGAATATGTCAAAAAAGCGATTTAGCAGCCTGAACTTGTAGCTCCACCCCAGCTTTACCTTTCTGCCCAAGAGCTGATTAGAGAGCGTGGATTTCCCAGCATTGGGTGCTCCAATGATGGCAATTCTTAAAACCTTGGGGTTCTGGGGCTGGTCGGGCTGCTCCTGTAACAGGCGTTTTTGTTCTTCTGCCAGGGGAAAGAAGGAGCTTGAATGTTGCTAAAACCCCACAGCGGGCCGGGACCGTCCGTCCCAGCGCTGGGACCCGGGCAGCAGCTGGTACCATTCACCTTTGCTGGTGGCAACAGGCGGTGGGTGCTGGCCCAGGGTACTGGGCAGCTTCTCGGCGGGGATGCCCAGGATGCTGCCCAGCGCGGAGCAGCTCCCGCTCCAGCGGGCAGGGAGCGCGGCGGCGGCCCGTGGGGCACCGCTCTCCACGAGACGTCCCGGAAGGGCGGCAGCAGCAAACACTGCACATCCCGAAGGACTGCATGCACCGAAAACGCCCCAAAACCGCGCCGTCCCCTTTCTCCCCACCCTGCAGCGCCCGGGCAGCCCTCCCCCTCACCCCAG